AAATCAGCTTCCTAGAAAAGTTTTCGTTGGAGCAAATAACATCTACCATGTCGGCGACGTGACAATCTCGCCATTGCGCTTTTCTGCCTCGTCTCTTTTTATTCGGCGGGACCAAATTTTCATTGTCAGACAAAGACAAAGAGCTTTCTTCTTCTGAATCTGAAGTCTCTTCCCTTCGTGACGCCATCTTTTTATAGCTAGCCTCAGTCTACGCATGCTCAATACATTAACATAATGTATGAATTAAATTCGACACGGCAGAAATTCGACGTTTGAATCGGTGTCGCATTTCTGTCGGATAATGCGACAAGACTAGTCGAACGTGCGGCAGAAATGCGGCAGCCGATTCAGACGTCGAATTTCTGCCGAATTTAATTCGTTGAATTGAATTCGACACGGCAGAAATGCGACGTATGAACCGGGCCTAAGTATCCTATATATAAGTATACCTAGTAGTAGGTAACTAAGGCCCGGTTCATACGTCGCACTTCTGCCGTGTCGAATTCAATTCAATTAAGTGCGGCAGAAATGCGACAGCTGATTCATACGTCGAATTTCTACCGAATTTAATTCTTTGAATTGATACTGCGGTGCAGGTCCGTCAGCGGAAAAATGTTACATTGGTTACGTAACTAGACGTAACTATCTAATATGGCGGACGAAGATACTAAACGGAGGCTCTTTATTTTTCAAAAAGTTTTTGAAGAAGGCGAAGGAGGAGGCTGACACTGCAACAGTATATGCTGCATCGTCTTCAGGAAAAGCATAGACTAATAATTCAACTTTTGCTGTTGATTGTTCTCATTTTGTCTCATCAAAATGCAACACAAGTTTATCGATCCTGTCGGCGACGTGACAATCTCGCCATTGCGCTTTTCTGCCTCGTCTCTTTTTATTCGGCGGGGCCAAATTTTCATTGTCAGACAAAGAAAAAGAGCTTTCTTCTTCTGAATCTGAAGTCTCTTCCCTTCGTGACGCCATCTTTTTATAGCTAGCCTCAGTCTACGCATGCTCAATACATTAACATAATGTATGAATTAAATTCGACACGGCAGAAATTCGACGTTTGAATCGGTGTCGCATTTCTGTCGGATAATGCGACAAGACTAGTCGAACGTGCGGCAGAAATGCGGCAGCCGATTCAGACGTCGAATTTCTGCCGAATTTAATTCGTTGAATTGAATTCGACACGGCAGAAATGCGACGTATGAACCGAGCCTTAGTATCATTCGGTGCGATACTTGATACTTTAAGATATTTACGTTCTTCTTCTTTAATTACTCGCCGTCTGAAGGACAATAAAGCTACCACGCAATTATTTTCGCTTACCAGTCGGTGAAGCTAGGACGTTGTGGAAAATTATGGCTTCTTCTTGGCAAGACAAAGGACACATCATGATAGAACACAATTCCTATAGCAATCCTAAATGAGCAGCGTTCACGCACACAGTTAGTGTCCAGTAGCCGCTGATACGATATCTTTTTTCGGTTTTGCTCTTCCAGTGAGCATTTCACTTCTTCTGTGAGCCTTTTGGTTTTGCCGTAAGTGTTTTTCTTTTGCCGCGGGTTTTGGGTTGTATCTTGAGGTATTTGGATTTACCCTGGGGTATTGGTTTTGCTGTGAAGTATTTGGGTTTGCCGTGAAGTATTTGGGTTTGCCGTGAAGTAATTGTTTTTGCCGTGAGCTTTTGGTTCTGCCGTAAGCCTGTCGGTTTTTCCGTGAAGTAATTTTTTTTGCCGTGAGGTATTTGGTTTTGCCGTTAAGTATTTGGGTTTGCCGTGAGCTTTTGGTTCTGCCGTAAGCCTGTTGGTTTTGCCGTCAAGTAATTGTTTTTGCCGTGAGATATTTGGTTTTTCCTTGAAGTAATTATTTGTGTCTTGAGGAGTTTGGTTTTCCCGTGAAGTATTTGTTATTGCCGTGACAGTTATGGACCATCTTGGGGACTCAGGTCACGAGTCACAGACATTCAAAAAAGAGCAGCGTTCAAATGCATCGTTTCCTTCGAAGGAAAAAGGGTTAGACGGATTAGGAAATCCTTTCATTGCAAGCCAAACTAGGACCAGCGGACTTAAGAATTTTTTCTCAATAAAATTTTATCCAGACAAGTCTTGTATAACATGACAGCTTTCGCAGAATTTCCCACTTGCGTTGCTGAGAATTCCGCGCACGCTAGCTCAGTAAGCTTGGACTGTATACTTCCTCTTGATTCAGGCTTTATTGACGACAATTCAGCATTTCACGTTCCGTTCTGCGATCTATCTACTCGATTACAATCTAATCCTGGGGTTACAAAAATGTTACATTTATTAGCTAAGGAAATCCACACCCAGATACGTAATTCCGTGTGGGATTCAAGATTCACTCACGTTCTATAACGATTCTTGGGCACTAATTTCCTATTAAACATGGCTTTACTTGACAATCACGCTGCTAAGTTCCTACGCGCTTAAACGCCCTGCAAATACCTAGTTTCGTACATCACTGCTCACAGAACTAATTTGATTACCCTATGCCGCTCCTAATTACATGCTACTTTTTAATTGTAACGGTAACGAAATTACAACTCACTTAATACACAATTAAATTCATAATAAATCCAAGAAATCAATTTTTGCGTAGAAACATTTCACAAAAACAGGTAAATTGTAAAAAAAAAAAAAAATGATTGTTTGTTTTGTTCAAATTTGGAAGCCTCAGTAGGATGTTACCCCGGACACTTCCGCTGCAAGGCCTCATCACACTTGATTATATTCAATACATGTTACTCTAATTTTGTATACCATTGTGGAAACTGCGAGCTGAAGCACGTTTTCTCTCGTTGTTGTTTTCCTTGTCTGTTTGTTTGTTTGTTTGTTTTTTTCCAAACGAGTATCAATTCCTTCCAAGTTATTGATTCACTTGAGATCCGCCGTGAATTTTGGTGTTGCCTGTCTCCTTTTCCAGTCGCTCCACGCGAGAAATTGGCCTCAAATACATTTCCATATGTTTATGAGGGATTAGCAGTTATAGCCGGAAAGTATCAATTTATTCAGAAGTGGTCTGTGATATGTTGCAGGACTACCTTTTAGTAGCGCCATAATAGGGTTTCTTATTTTTAGTAGTTTCTTTCTTTTTAGATAAACAATAAACTTAACTTCTTCCCGTATTCAAACAAAAGAACTTACTTGAGCGCCTAACGAGGCTAACAAGACCTTTTGGTTTTTTCGCTTTCTTTTATAATTACTTTTTTTGTCCACTCTCAACAGCAGTCCCCTGCTCCAGCCCTTCTTGGGTGCTCTTGTTAATTTATAACAGTGCCTGTTTTTTCTTCTGACGGACGTTAAAGTGATTTAAACAAATGCTCATGCGGAATATAAAACTTAGGTTACAAAAGTTGCCCACACGGGAATTTCGGGGCTCCTATGAAAATGAATTAACAAAATCAAATCGGAGATCACATAGTTAAGAAAGGTTCTTATGCCAAAATAGCAACTGTTCTAGAGCTGGAAATAGTACTGGTGAAATCATTTGAAAACCCGCGACTTGAAACGTTAATTAGTCAAATTCGTTTCACAGTTCTGTCCACCAGCCATGCGTGGTAGATTACTTCGACCCGCATGTCAGGTTAATTAAGGCCTGGGTCACCCTGCCTTTAACCCATATTTTTCACAAAATTGAGAATAACTTAGCTATTTTGCCAGGGATTTTTCTCATACTTAGCAGAAATGTATATCACTACCATCTCTCTCGGACTGAATTGTGGCAGTGTAATATGATACTCTCAACAGCCAAAAACAGTTAATTTAGGCGCCAAATTCGTCGGTTGCTTTCTTGAGCAAATTTCCACCACTAAACACAAGGCAAATCAAAATGCAGTTATCACTATGAATATTTGAGACGTTTTTCATTGTTTTCCCACTTGGAATGGCTGCCAAAAAAAAGAGAGATGTGCTAGGCAGATTAAATCAAGTTTTCTCTCTGCGAGGCTGCTTCCTCTATCATGGTTTTCGCCCGAAAACATCTTAGCCTTTACCTGGTTCCAACCGCTATCAACGAAAGTAATCCCACAGGTTCCTATTTATTTGGAAAAAAGACAAATTAAAACTGTCTAAGAGGTGGGAATTCTGAAAACTCGCAGTAAGGTATTCAACTTAGTGTCCGCCATTTTGACACGCGAGTGTTCAGAAGCAATAATTTAACGGCTGATACACTACCAAATACTGCTTGGAGCAATCTAAGAAGTAATACAGGCAAACTTTGAATACTTTTGATGATATTTATTTCTTTTTCTCGTTTTCTGAGGTCGATTGCATCTCTGTAAATCCAGGGTTCCCGCCAGCTTCTCGTCTCTTAACTTGCAAATTTGGGCGGTAAGAATAAAGAACGTTTGTAATTTTATCCCAATTAGTATCATATAACGAGACTGAATTACAATTTTGGCGCAAAACTTGAAAGTTATCGCGAGATACGCACACTGATTCCTTGAAGCTCTTCAAGGTTTTGTTCCCTAACGATAACGCTCGATAACGAGCTTAGTGTATTCGTGTGAAACGAATACACTTAGTCATTTTTGATTGTGGATTTGCAAGAGTTGCTATAAAGGAGAGCTTTCGTAAGGTTGGAAGTGCTTCGGTTGAAACTGACCCTAGTGAAAAGTGGAAGAACTATCTTGCAGCGTTCGAGGGTGACAGTCATGAAGTCTTTGCGGTCAAACGTTCCACGTACGTCAAGAAATCCAAAGCAATTTACAGCTCTTTCCGAAAGATGAACTCAAAAGCCAGGGCCCAGTACCAAGACACGTTTTCAATGGTAAACTGGAAAGCCCTTAATACAACGCGGAAGAAACAGCACACACTGTCAAATTGTGGAGGTTGTCAAGTGCACTATTATGCCATCCATAATCTTTTCCCCAGTGGAGAAACTTTCAAAACCCGAAAACTTTTAAAAGAGGCCCTTATTGAAAGTGGGGTGAGGACACAAAGTAAAGTGAAACCAACGCAAAAAGCCATTAAAACTGCTGTAAAACACATTTATTCAAAAGTGAATGGCCACTTTGAGAAAATATTTAAAGTAAGCTTTGCTGAAGCACAAACAAAAGTGAAGGAACTTCAGCTCCAAAATAAGAGAGACGCAATTGAGAAAAAGCGGCAGCGTCGAGAGAGAGCACGCCAAGAAAAAAATAAAATCCAATGCTAATGTCAAGTCTATCTGGAGGAGGAGTAATGTTTCTAGTTACTTTGCAGTAATTTGCATGCCAGACAAGGAGATCAACAATCTTCACCTTTACTTGTGTTGCAATCTAGCATTTATTTAAGCACACTCTATAATATATTTTCCTTCATTTTCCAGTTTTTTAAAATGAATGCAGGTACCAAATATTCCACTGTAAACTTAATCAATCATACTGAACTTATTCCAACCAATGGAGAGAATATAATACTGGGAGAAGGATCCTATGGTCGATGCCTTCTGAGACAGTACACACGATTTGATATAAAGGTTGTGGAAAAACAATCTCTGATGCAGGACACCACAGAGATAATGAAGGAGGCTCGCATTATGCAGGCACTCGCACATAAAAATATCCCAACCATAATGGGTGTGCAGCTTAAAAAGCAGCCCATTTCCTTAATAATGGAGTTTAAAGGGAAGACAATACATCTGTAACAATAAGCAAACTATTGTCTTGTCAGAAAAACAGTGCAACAATACAGAATGTGCAAAGCTCACTCATAACAAATGACTGGTTAATTATTTCACATGATTTGACAGAAGCCCTTTCACATAGTCACACAAAAGGCTTTCTTCACTGTGATTTGAAGGCTAATAATGTTCTTGTGAGTAACAAACATGGCTACTTCATCGATTTTGGAAAAGCATGTGACAGCTCCTTTCCTCCTGCAAAGAAGTACAGCATCTGTTATCCTCATATTGCTCCTGAGGTTCTTAATGGTTCTCCCTGTAGAAAAGCCAGTGATATTTTTTCCCTTGGTAAAATTCTGTTCAAAGTAGGTGTTAAGCAAAACATTCCACTTTTGGTTTCCATGGCTCAAGAATGTTTGGATGCCAGCCCTGTAAGAAGACCAACAACAACAGGCATTATGGCAACACTGGCTTCCATAATATCTCACTGAATACTATAAGCTTAAGCAGGGGTTTCACAGGCCTGACACTGGGCAAATTGACTGGCTGGGAACAAAATTTTTCCTGCATGTTGTGACTGACATAAATCAGAATCAAAACATATTTTGCCTGCTTCCTTCTACATTTCCCATCACCTCAAAATCTTAATGAAACCTCTGCTTAAGAAAGTAATAATTAACACTCTAATCAAGTAAAGTGACCCTAGCCATGTCACAGCAGGAGTCTTTTTATTGGGCTTTGCAAGGTTAAAATTACAATGTATGTGCATGTCTTTAGCAAGTTTATGTGTGCCCTTGGTCTAAACTAATTTTGTACTTCTGCTTTACGAATTGTGAATGAATGTTAATGTTAATGATTGTTGCAATTATTACCAGCCAAAACTTAAAAACCAAACTGTTGACTATAATTAAAGCTGATATAAGATGATTTAAAAATAAAAAAAAATGCCTCGTAAATAACACCATTAACATTCTTGTAATAAATTAGTTGTGTGGAATAACTGGAAGGACCTTTTCAAGAAAACAAATAGGGATAACAGGAAATAAAACTGGTTTTAATCAAGTGGATTCCCTTTGGAATCTGCAAGGGCTGGCTGGTTTTCTGTGTGAGTAATTAAAATTATTATTATTATATATTTAAAGCAATTCAGTAAGTGACCTCGGAATAAACTAACACACATTAGTACAGCTTTTTTCTCTTAGTTTTCAAGGGACAATTTATGACAATACAATCTGCATCTTACATGTCAGCAATTAAACTTACCTAATAACTGCTTTGGGGGATTAGTTTGTAAGTAAATTCATCTGCTTCTTGGAGAAATTGTTTCCAAAGCATTCAAAAGCCTAAATTTTGATAAACACCATAAGTTTACACATCATGATATGATAGAGGATTTATCAAGCTAAATTTAATTTCAAAATTGAATGGTATATCCACAATGAAACTTTTTTCTATGCATTTGTTACAAAACATAGTACTTTTTTCTATGCATAATTTACAAACATTGTAAAACGCTAATGAGCTCTAGAAATGAGCGCGATATTATAAATTCATGTTGCATTGTATTTGCAGTGAAGTCAATGAACATGTTGAGAGCGGTGTTTAGAAGTCTTCGTAGGTTCAAAAGGGTTCTCTTTGGCTTTAAGATAGCGATATCATGCCATTTTTTGAGGATATGAAGATAGTAAAGAAAATGTTATTACCTTCTTTTGATGCCTTCCTCTAGATTGTCGGATTCACCAGCGAAGATGGGAAAATCCATTGCAAAGCCGACACTTCAAAATGGCGGATGCCGTTCACGAACTACGCGATCTTGATTCCAAGTAACTATGGTTACTCGCGCAGTCCACGCGAATTCCGCGAACCTTGCTGGGGGGCACTGGAAGCGAAAATCATTTTTGACCCAGGCCTTAATTAACCTGAATATGAATAAAGGGGTAACTTTCTAAAGAAACTGTGGTGCTGCGTCGGTGGGAGAGTATAGCAGGTAATTTGGTGTTAACAACTGGGTTGAAAACGAAAATTAGCCATCGTAAAGGGTAAAAAAGCTGACGTTTCGAGCGTTAGCCCTTCGTCAGAGCGATCGGCGAAGGGCTGACGCTCGAAACGTCAGCTTTTTTACCCTTTACAGTGGCTAATTTACGTTTTCAACCTAGTTGTTAAAACTAAATTACCTGCTTAATTAACCTGAGTTCGGCTTCGTTTTTTTTTTCCTGCGTTCAGTCACAAAAGGCAGCTCCACTGCGTGAAGTATAAGCGCATGCGTAGAATGAACCTTAGAGCGCATGGTTTAAAGCAATGGCTGCCTTCGTGGAGAATTTCTTGCTTGATGTACGAGAAGGAAATTCGATGGCTATTACGCCCAATAGACATACAAAGTCACACACCGTTCGCGATAGACCCACACTAAAACTTGTGGAGCGTTTTGGGAACGGGTCGGTCCGCGAACTTTACGAAAGATCAATTTACGAGCGATCCTTTACGACTGAACCTTTTATTGAGAAATATCAAGCGAAACCTGCTATATCAAACGAGTTCTCTCATATTATGTTTACATGTAAACACAACCGTGTATTTAAACGTGATCGAGAACCTAGTAGAATACCAGAAGCTACTCTGAAACGTCTCAGAAGAAAGGGCAGAAAACTGAAGGAATTTGTTTATGAGCGTATTCTTCCAAGCATACCGAAGTCCTCTTGGCTACGTCGTTATTTGAAGGTTAGAAGAGTTACAAAGAATGATTATAAGCTTAATACGAAGAGGGTAAGATTAAATAAAGTTACAAAACATGATAAGAAGTATTTGTTGAATTGTTCCGTAAGGGTATATCAAAGGATAATTAAATTGAAGTATAGAGCAAGGAGGTACTTATCAATGTTTTCTTGTTATAGACCGATGTGTCTTTATAAGAGTCAGACACACGCATCAAACTATTGTAAATTTCAACTGATTTCAGTTATAGAGAAAAATCCTGGTCCTACTCCAACATTGTACATTGACCCTAGCAAAACAATAATGGCACCATGTAGCCAAGCTAATGAATTGGTATTTGGACAGAATTCAGGACAACAATGTGTTACAATGAGTTTATGCTCTTTGATTTACAATAACAAACAAGGAATCAATTCTGCTAACGATCTCGTGTCAATAATGAATATTGGAAATCAGTTGTATTCAAGTTTGTCTCAGTTAACCAAACAATCATTTTTAATGCAGACAGAATTACCCACACTTTTTAATATGTTAGAGACAGACTATGAACTTCAATACAGTGAGAGCTACACTGGTACTATTCATCAAGAAGCTACAATAGAAGGATATCAGTACTATACCTCCTTAGGTAGAGCCTTTCAATCACTTATATCCGAAAATTTCAACAATTTTGTATTGACAGTAGGATGTACTGCAGTCGCTATCTATTGTAAAGATAATGTGGGCATTGAAAAGTCCTTGAATTTCAACCTTTGCGATCTGTAGGAGCCTACTCCTATATGATAATATATTATTTTGATTGTTGTCTAGTACCATAATTAACATTCATTACACTCCAGCAGACAAAAATAAACACAAGTAGATTTATTCATGACCGGCAATGACTAAATTGCGTGACGACAGTAACAATGGCAATATGGTAGTCCCCTAAAGATAACTCCAGATGTGCGATATTGAAAGCCCGAGTTCACGTAGCTATGCGTCTAGTCAAACTAGAAACGCAAAACATCACCAATTCCCGTTTTCGATCCTCCACTGTTGACTTATGCGTAAGCATTTTAAGTCTACTTGCTCCAATACTAAATATTGGTCCAAAATTGCTCCAAAAAGGGTCCAAAATTGGTCCAAAAAATGATTAAAAAAATTGTCCAAAAATTAGTCCAAAAGTAGTCCAAGGGTCCAAGGGTCCAGTGGTCCAGTCCATTTCTTACCTATGCCAACATCGTGTTAATAGAGTAAAAAGAATGGCTCTAAAATAGATTAATTAAGGCCTAGATCAGTTTAATCATTTTCAAAGAGTTAAAATATCACGCGAAAGCCAACAGAAATTAAAAACCTTACAAAAATAAATCCTTTGTTTGACTAAATATTAAGGTTTTGTCAAACAGCCGTTAATTCTCTAACAATCTCGTGACAGTCTCGTGACGTAGCTGTAAATGTTGTTATGGGTAGCTTCTGTACTAGTAGTTTCTGAAAATTTAGAGAATGCTGGCACTGGCTGACTTCTCACAAGACCACACCTCATCTTTATAGGACCCTGACAACGCACATGCGAATTAACTTTTGTTTTCTAATTTTTGTTCCGCGTGAGTACTTGTTTTGATTACAATCGAAAATCTGTAGCAAAAGGTCATCTCTATTGGACGTTCATGGCCACCCTTGACTGAGTCCCAAAGGCCTGTTTGTATAAAAGAATAATCAGGCGTCACTGGTAGAAAATTCACGTCAACAAGGAGTGAAAATTGACGCTCACAAATAAATTAATTAAGGTCTAGATATTTAATCCTTTTATTGATTAAAGGGAAGTAAAATAACACGCAAATGTTTAAAAGAATTACAAAACCCTTACAGAAATAATCCCCCTGTTTGACTGAAATATCAGTTTTTGTCAAACAACCGTTGGAAGCTCGCTCTCTCGAGAAGTCTGGTAAGCATGCGGTTTTGAGCAAGCTTCATTATCTTTTTTTTTACGTATTTTAACAAGCTCTAGGCAGCCTCGTGACGTAAATGCGAGGTGACGGCCAGTAGGGAAGGAGTTTTCCTCAGCGTGTTAGTCTCACAAGTTCACTTGGAGCATGTACTAAACGGGAGTTTCCGCGGAAAGATATTTGCGAAGATATTTTTGCAGAAGCCTTATTGTCCTTCAGACGGTGAGTAACCCTGGTTAAGCTTATTTTTTAAAGTTTCTTGAAGTCATCGCGAGTTGCGCGATCCTTTATCTAAATCGTGGGCGATATGGCTAATGACGTGGCAACCAAACTATCTTCTTTTTGCTCACCTAAATCCTTTTTATCTCAGATTCCAAGCACCAGCGTTTCTTACGTTAGCTTTTCTTCTTATTTTGTATTGTTTTAAATCGTATGTGATCACAAACGGTACTTAAGTCTCATGTCAAACGACGAAATATGTAACCCATATTGCAACTTAGTGATACTTTGCGGTTCGCTGGTTGATTGTTGCTAACGAGGAGGTATACCTATAGCCGTACGTGGTCTGTGTTCAATATGAAACATTGCTTTCCCCTCATGTACTTAATGGAACGAAGAAGAACATATTTACATGTGTTTCACCAGTAGCATTTTTCGAGCTTACACTTCCGCTTTGATATTTGGACCGAGAGCAAGTTTGCAATTTTCAGTCTGTATCGCATTAACATGCTTAACAGCGCCAAGAGCTTTCTGATATGCCAATAATTTCGCTAGTAAGTATAAGTGAATGTTCGTCGTTACTGAAGGAAAAAAATCATTGGATTTAAGCATTTCCATTGCAGCGAAAGTTCTTTGGATAACATGCTACTTCGAAGAACCCCGATCATATAGATAATTTTAAATTTTACTTAACATTATTGATGTTACATTTGAAAAAAAGCGTATATTGCAACTTAAACGATATCAGAAGCCTATGATTGTTGCAAAGAAGGAAGGCTGCCATGAAAACTCCCTCACAGGACTCCATCAATTTGCAAATATTTGTCAGCTTGACTTGGGCACGTAGACAGTTCGCCTGTGAACAGTTCGGTTCTAACGCCTTTATGAATTTCCTTACTTTGCATTGGTACTGTAGAAGCAAACTGACTCTTTGTTTCTAGTCTATGAATTTTTGTCTCCTTTTAATTTCTGAAAACACGAGCCCAGCGAAAGTTTGGTGAACACGAAATCAACCTTTGAACTTGAATTTGTTTTTATGTTGAGAATAACTGATCAATCACGCTTTACTTGTGTAGTGTTACAAAGACGGCTGAAGGAAAGTTCAGGAACACTTTGAATTTGCCTATTGGAACAAACAAATCCAAACTAGTACAAAAAATCCAAACTTTAAATTTTTCTACGGATAATTTGCAAGTAGTGTGTTTGTGCAGATAATATCTGTTGCTTAGTAGTAATTCATTTCAATCACACTTTACATCTTCAAATTTGATTAATTTTAATGAAAACCCTTTTTCATCTGTAACGGTTTAGGTAACGGAAGGTTATTGGAATTAACTAGAAAATCTAACAAACCATTTTAGGGCTGTTTTCAATACTTAGTTTACGTAGCTTTGTTCTACACGTGGTTATATACCAATGCTGTTAAACTAAAGCTAACTGAATTATAAAAAACCAGTTGTCATTTAATTACAGCTCCATTCATTTGTATAATATCTATATGGAATATTTTGTTGCTTTTGTCAACACGTAGTTTTTCTCAATTTCGCACTGTTCCGAAAATTTCAGTCCTTAGTTAGAGCGATTACAAAAGCGAATGATGAAACATGCAGAAAATCATACTAAAATGTTCAACTAAAACTTAAAATCTCTATTAACCAGATAACAGAAATGGTAACGGAAGTTACTGACTAAGGGGTCGAATTCTATTTTAGTTAGCCTCTTTTTTTGGCACGATGTTGAGTAAAAAGTCCCTCGATCATGGCAACAGTGTCATCGTGCACCTTGAATTACCTTTTTGTTTGACTGAAGGGGACAGGGAGCTCTGTTATTGCCAGGATAGACTCCAAATCTATCCAAACCTCATCTTCTTGAGTTGGCCACTTTAAGAAACCAGCTTATTTCTTCCGTGACTCCATGAAGTTTATAAGTGCTCC